TTAAATCTAATTTATCAAATTCAGTTTGTAATTCTTGCATCTAAATTTAACAAAAAAAAATAATAATTAAATATCTATAAAAACATTTTTGATAATAAATAAATAAATACTTGAATAGGTTTAACATTTTGTATCATTGGTGTAAGAGTTTGTTTACCAACCCATTTATAAATTTCAACAAGTAATAATTTTGCTTCATCACGTACAGTTTTATCACGATCTTCAAGTAATGGAATAACTTTTGGTAGGAATGGTTTTATTGGAAGAACTTTTGAACCAAAATCACTTGAAAAAAAATAATAATATAATAAACAATATATTAGAAAATTTAAAAAAAAAGTATTTACCTTAATGCTCGTCGAAGTAATTCAAGACAAGCTTGAACAATTTTTGGTTGTTTATTTTCAAGACCTTTGATTAATTCTTCTTCTATTTCAGCATTTTTATCAATTTCAATATACATAAGAAGAATATCAAAAGCACGTTCTTTAGTTTTTGCTCTTCCAGTAAGACATTTACTCATGATTATTGGAACAATTTCACCAACAGTTCTATAAAATAAATCTTGTACGTACAAATGAATATTATCTATTAAAACTTACGTTCGTGCAACATATGCTTCTTGAATAAAAATAAGTAAAGCTTCTAAACCTTTTTCTTTAGCATTTTCATTTGTATCTTGAACAAATCTTGGCAAAAGATCTAAATAATCTTCAAATTCTCCACTTTTGCTTGAATCTTGCATAGCAAAAAGTTTTCCACATTCTTCATAACCGGCTAAACGTGCATTCCATAACTAAAATAATACGAAAAACAAAAAACAAAACAATAATAAGATTTAAATCTTATTATATTTTTTTGTTTTCATATTTCTTACTTTATGCTGTACTTTTTCATCCGGTTGTAATTTTTGCCATTCCGGATCGTCAATTGGTTTTTCACTGCGTACCTAAAAAAGCAAAAATGATTTTCTTTTAATCATTTTATCAAAATCGATATCTGATAAATATATATTGCGTAATTTTAGCCTATCAATAAAGAATGAAAGAGTAAAAGAAAAGTAAAAATATATATATATATCCAAGAACAAAATCGATAATAAATATAGTGAAAGAATACGAAATAGAAAAATAAATTTATAGTTGTTGTTAAAGTTGATGTACATGTTAGTGATTCTTGCATATTTGTACTATTTAATGATGATGTCGAACCATCAGTTGATATTGATTGACGAAGAAACTGTTGGACTCAATAATGAACGTCGAAAAGTTGTAATTGATTGAATTTTTAATGAATTAAATTTTCTATTTGATGACAATGGATTTATTATGGATTGTTTCACTTGAGAAAGTATAGTGTGAGACACAACACTATCAATGATTAGCATAGAAGCCTGCAATAATGCACAAATATATACATATATATGTATATATTTGTATATCTTATTTGGATAAAAAAAAAGAAAAATGACACACGCGCAAAATCATGAGAAAGATTTCGAACGAAAACAAAAAACAAGCAATAAAAGATTATAATTTACCTTTGGTGGTCTTGGTTCTCGTCTTTTTTCTTCTACAGGTTCGTTTGTTGTTGCTGGAGATTTACTAGCTGTTGTTGTCTTTTTCTTTGCAGCAGTTGTTGGTTTAGTTGTTGGTGCTGGACTTGTTGATTCTTCATCTTTATTAGCTGTAACATCAGGTGTCACTATAGTTGCACCACCTGATTTTTTTGTCATAGTTGCTGTATTTATAGATGAAGCAACAGATTTAGGTACGGTAGCTGTGCTTGTTCCTGTTGAACGTGGCTCTCCTCGAAGATTGAGTAGGACTGCTGTTTCAGCATATTCTTTTATCTATAAAGATAAAAATTATTTTGAATAAAAAGTTTGTATATATACATAGAAAAATTTTTCATTACTTTATTTAATTTAAGTTCATCTAAGTCTGTTACATGTGGAAGAATATGTTTTTCACCAAGACATTTCCATAACATACCAACACTTTCAAATGCACTATCACGTACACCTGCATCTGCTTCACCTGTATTCTACAATTCAATATAAAATATCATTTT